CAGTGCAGCTGGACCCCGAGTTGGCCAAGAGGCTCTTCTTTGAAGGCGCCACGGTCGTCATCCTGAACGTGCCCGAGGGCACCGAGTTCGGCATTGACTACAACACCTGGGACGTCGGCCCCCGCTTCCGCGGAGTCAAGATGATCCCTCCAGGCATCCATTTCCTCCACTACAGCTCTGTCAGGGGAGCTAGTAGCCGGGAAACAGGGCCGCGCACAGGTTTCTTCCTAAGCCTGCAGCAGCGAGACTTGCGGGTGCTGCGCTGGAACCCCACCAACGAGGAAGTGGATCTTACGCCGGCAGTCCAGGAGGAGACTGAAGCCATGAGAGGAAATCTGCAGGAGATGGACAAGTTTCTTGGGCCCTATCCGTATGAGACCCTGAAAAAATGGATTTCCCTCACCAACTTCATCAATGAGTCGATGATGAAGAAGCTGCAACCAGAGAGTGGGCAGATCTGTGCCTTTTCAGAAGTTCTCCCTGTGCTGGCTGGGAAGCACACCAAAGACCGTGCTGAACAGAACTTGCCCCCTTATGACACAGAATGCAAGAGCTATGCTGAAGGTATGGCACGGCTGCCCAAGATGAAACTGAAAGCTGGCACTGAGATCAGATTCACAGAGCTGCCAAAGCAGATGTACCCCGATGGTGCTACTCCTGAGGAGATAACCAGGCATAGCATGGACCTTAGCTATGCTCTAGAAAAAGTGATTGATCAGCAGTACTCCAGCCAACCTCAGGATTTGCTTGGTGAGTGCATAGTATCCCAGTTGTAGAGTCCTTATTCACTTTGAAAGAATTAAGTTTTTGGCTGTAAAGCAAGAGTCCTCAGGTGAAACCTGCAGTTCTGTTGACCTTAAAGGCTCAGGGCATAAGTGTGCTCTTATAATTGTGACTATACGAAACAGTTTATACAAGCTACAAAGTCTGAGTAGCTATAGGGTCTATTCCAGTTGCCCTGATGCAAGAATCTGGACACTCTTTTGCTCAATATCTAGAGTGACTAGCCTGCCTCACTAGCCACTTTTGTTCCTGGCTGCTGCAGTAACATGTTTGGAACCCAAATTGCCTCAGATTAATTCAAAAGCATAAATCCCAGTTTATGAACTGAGATGTGTTTGTGAATTCACCCTTGTGCATGGAAGGCACATCACGTTGCGTCTAATGCAAGTACATTTTTTTCTGTGGTGCCATCCTGATGATTTATCTATCAAGTGATCCTCTAAGGACAGAGTTTAGGGAGTCCTGAGACCACTGAATGGGATGGGACATCTTAATCTTTAGATTCTTGTTCCCTTTTTGCCAGCAACTCAACTTTTGGCTTTTGGGGTGAGTTGTTTTGCCTTTTAGGCCTCCAATTCACTTTGTATAGTTTAGGGATAATGATGCTTCTGTGCCTTGTGGATTTTTATTTTTTAGGCTTGATGTTTTCAAAGAAGGTCTCAAAGGTTTGCAAAGTAATTTACAGCAGGTGAAGAATGAGCTGTGCACTAGAGAGGCAGCTCTCCTTCTTAAATGTCTCTGGCTGTCCGTTTTACCCTCTTTCTGGCTGTCCGTTTTACCCTCTTTGTTCTATTCAGTACAGTCTATTTCCTTCAAACCCTTCTGCTCGCCCACCTTATAATTTGGTCCTACTCTGCTCATCCTCACTGATGGCTTTTCAGTAAACTGAGTAACCAAAAATGATTCTTTTACTAAATGCTACTTTGACTGTTGGTGAATACAACTGTCATGGAAGAGTTGATCTTTGTGGAGAGGGAGCAGCCTGTGCAGATAGCAGTGAAAGTACTAACTATAGCTAGAACAGAATGGATAATTCTAAATATAAGCTGTCAATGAAGTGTACAGATGCCAGTCAGTTAAGTGAGTTTTAGTACTCTGATAGTACATTTCCCAGCAGTCAGTTCCTAACACAGTAACTAATCAGCAGGATGGGCCTTTCCTTCTACTCTGGTTAGAGGCGGAGGAAGGTGGGAAGTCTCTGCTGTGGGCTGCTGGCGACCCTCTGTGGTAGCATTTGGGATTTGTGAGCTCTACTGCAGGAGGGCGAAACATGCAGTGTTCATGGGCACACTGTGAACTGCATCTCTCAGTTACAGGGTCTTAATTACTTGCCAGCCTCATTTAACAGCTTGTGATACAAATTAGTAACAGCTCTGTGAAGATCCTTGAATGCATTTTCCGTGTGGCAGGATGGAGTGAGGACTTGGGAAACTAGCTGATCTAGAGCCTCAAGGTTACTGAGGTTTGGAATAAGCCTTTATTTTCCCCTTTTTTCTTTATTAACTTTATACAATTTATTCTTTATCAAAAGTATTCTAGGAGATGCAAAGACTAATTACCGTAAGGGTGTGTAAGGTTCCCTAGTGCCTTGGGGAATGGTGAGGCCATCATTCTGGCAAAACAGCTGATGCTGAGCATCAAGTGAGATTGAACCCTGACTCTTAATTCAGTGAAGGAAAAACAACCATTATGTACTGCTCACCTCGTTCTTTGTTCCCACACCCCTCTGTTCAAGGGCAATCTGATTTTGGAAACTCAGGCATAAAAGGAGCTTTCAGAATAACAGCTTTATTTTCTCATTTGGACATCATAGAAGATTTTGAGAATGCAGGCAAGTCCTGAGGTAGCTATATGCTCTGATTGCCAGTAAAGTCACTCTCCAAAGTTGACCATTATAGTTTTAAGGGGTCCTGCCTGATCGTGCTATGCTTGTTCTCCAGCTGAATAGCAGAGCATTAGGAAATAGTCAGTGCTTGGAGTATTGATTGCTATTATCAGAGTCACTGGGAGGATAGGGTACTGTTCATGTGTAAAAGGCAATCCCAGAGTTTATACAGTCATTTTCAGAGCTTTCAAGAGGACATGTACCTTGGATGTGTTTCTAGTCTCATGTGTACTTTGTTTTCCTTTCCTTTGCTAAATGTGTGCAGCTGAGTTGCAATTTGCTTTCATCTGCTTCCTGATTGGGAATGTGTATGATGCATTCGAGCACTGGAAAAGACTCTTAAATATCCTGTGTCGATCTGAAGATGCCATAGGGAAGTATCAAGACCTTTACACCAATCTCATTTCTGTGCTGTATCACCAGCTCAATGAAATCCCAGCTGATTTCTTTGTGGACATTGTCTCCCAGGACAACTTTTTAACCAGCACCTTACAGGTATGTTTGTGGCTGTCACTGTGGGAAACTTAAAAAAAAAAAAAAAAAAAAAAAAAAAGGTGGGGGGGGGAGTAGGAGGAGAGGGCATACAGGACATCAGAGCAAATTTTCAAAAGGAAGTAAGCTGCTATTGATCTGCATAGGAGACAGTGAGTCTATGTGTTCTAAGAATGCTCATATTTTCTTTTATTTTTTTCCCCCACGTTCTTTACACAGAAATACTGCTTGCTTGTCCTGAGTTTTATCTGCTAAAGTTATGCCCAGAAGAGTCTAATGCAGCATAAATTTAAGTTAGTCTCTATAGAAAGGCCAGCAAAGTGAGACAATGAGAGGAAAGACTAATGAAAATATAAATAGCTGCAATATGGAATGGAGGCTCTGTCTTTTTTTTTTTAGTATGATTTCCTGGCAAATAATGCTGAAAGTAGCCTATCACATTGACATGGCATGGATCTGTTCTAGAGTTCTGGAATAGTGTATGTAACGCAATTGAATTGCACCAGCATACCTTTTCTAAAAATGTCTAAGGTCTTAGGCTACATAAACAGCTATGGGAGAGGCTGAGCAAGTGCAAGGCAAGGTCTTTTTATGTGTTTTTTTCCAAATGCCATTCATTCTATATGTATGTATATGTGTGTATATATATTTGTGTGTGCCATAAAAGACTGGCAATATTGACTTTGGTCAGCTTGAATGGTATGATATTTTGTATGCAGAGAAGTTTCAGTGAAACCTTTTTGAGCTTAGGGTGTTGATAATATGTTAAAAGCTTTTCCATTCCTGTTAGCCTTATGTAAAGCTAAAGATTTCCCAGAATCACGTTCTTATCTAGAGGGAATTTACAGGTAGTCCAGAATGTAGAAAATACACTGCTTATGCTGAGATAGGTGTGGCAAATATTTATAATTCAGTACTAGTAAGACCAGTTACTCCCACTCACTGAAATTATGCTAACAGCTCAGCAAATAGACAAGTCTTATAGCTAAGCCAAATTCAGTTAAAAATAAAAACAGATATACCCATATAACTCAGCAATGGAAACTTAATCCCAGCATGAAATGTAGTAAGTTATGTTGCAGTGTTTGGTGTAAATTGTATATTGCAATCTCCTTTCTCAAAAACAGTGATTACCTGTAATTCCAAGTTGCTGCTGTAGATCTTTGTTTGTTTGTTTGTTTTTTAAACTCACTGGGTAAAATTAGGTGGGAAGCATTGCTTTAATCAAGTGAATGACTTTACTTGACCGTTATCTGGGCTTTTTCAGATTTGATTCACAAAACTCTTGATTTTTTCATTTTTGTTTCCCCCCCGCCCCCCCACATCCCATTTTGGGATTGGAAAATCCAGCTCTATTTTTAGCACGCTGGCAGAGCAACGCTTTGCCCTATCAAATTACAACAGTACAAAAGAATGTGTCAACCAGCTTTGTCTCTCTGATTATCTTACCTTTTTGGGCAACTAAGCCTTGTGTGCTCTTGGAGTTCATCAGTCTTTATCTTTTATTTATGCAATAGAGGCTGATGCCTTTAGTGTGGCTGTGTTGGTTTCACTGATCACCACTAACCGCAGTGGGGGTCACTGCATTCCCAGCAACATAGAAGAAATTTATGGTTTAAATAGGCCTCTCCTTGCTAAAAGTTCTCCTGTTCTCTGCACCAGTGGGATTTCCCTGATTGTTGCTTTGTGTATGACCATTTCAAAACAAACTTTGCTTTTCCTTTTCAGTATTTTCTCCAGCTGTCAGTAGACTTCTACCAAATACAAGCTTGCTTTGTCCCAAAGGGGTTTCCCTTCACTTCAGTCCTGCAATGAATTTTTCTTTGGCTTTGAAACATAAATTTCTTTCTATGGAAATGAATTTTGGGTCACAAGTTCAGTACACTAGCAGAAGCAGGCAGGTGAGAGATGGGCTCTGAGGCTAAATGCCCTGTTTAATCAGACATGGATGCTTTAATTCTCCAAAATGCAAACAGGAAGCTATGAATTTGTGAAAAGTTAATGGATTTTGTGTATGTTTGGATGGGGGGAGATGGGACCACCCTTCTTTAAATGTTATTCCAGATTGCAGCACCCTGTGCTGAAAGATCTTAAGGGATCGGCTGTGCTGGGGATAACTGAACTTTTTCTAGGGAGCTTCCGTTCTTTTCTTACCTCTGAGGTTATTTTGTTAAAAAATATCCTCCATATTCTCCAAGATGTTTGTGTTACCATATTGCAAGAATACTTTGGGGAATCTCCTGGTCCATCCAGCTGAGAAAAAGATGGATATTATTCCCTGTTGGCCTTGTTGACTTGTGGTGTAAGATGTGCTGTGAGTTCTCATCTGCCACTTAGTTGTTTTTCTGTTCAGCAAGTTAAGCGTATTTCAGAATCCCATAATACATACTTAGTTACATGTGTACTCCTACTTGAAACAGAACTGACTATTACCTTATTTAGTGCAAATATTTTTAATGATGACTCAGTGGAATGAAGACAGGATGTCTATTTTGGTTGTGAGATGAAAGGGGAAGTGTCCCATAGTTAGAATGGCTTCCAGGATGGCTGATTCCTTCCAGGTGGGGCTAACTTGAAATATTAACTAGTGCACCCTATTGATGACCCCCTTGCAAGAAAGATGCACAGCTTGTGCCACTGAGTTCTTACTGGCATCTTACTGACATCTACTCTTTTTTTTTTTAGGTGTTCTTTTCTTACACATGCAGTGCTGCCATTGACAGGACACTAAGGAATAAAGCTGAAAAATTCAAGGCTCACCTAACAAAGAAATTTAAATGGGACTTTGAGGCAGAGCCTGATGACTGTGCTCCTGTAGTGGTGGAGCTTCCTGAAGGAGTGCAGGTGGACTAAGCTAAGTGCTCACTTAGGAACAAACAGCTATTTTAAATAACTTTTTCTCCACAACCTCCCTAACCTTGCCGACTTCCTAGAGCCTGCTTCTCCAGCTGATTCCTCTTCCTGATACGGAAGCAGATGTGAAAACCACGGAGCCATTCCACACTTGGTGAGACCAGAATTATTGGAGCTGTTCAAATGTTGCCATGTGGCATCAGCGGTTACTTTGGACACCTCATTTTTTCTAGTTCTTTTGCAGCAACTGCTCATTTTATGCTCAGCCAGACTACTAGATCCCTGGTCTCTTCCATCTTCCTTGGGTGAGAGGTGACACCCTGTTCTGAGAACAACTGTGTTTTAGACTTGAAGCCTTTGAAAGCTGCTCCCGTTTGATGCCTCCAGAATGAGGAGCGTAAGCTCACGTGACTGATCATCACAGCTTTCTGCAGCCTGACCCCAAGCTATGCAGCATGAAATTCTGCTCTTCCTAGGCTTGCATTACAGGAATATAATCAGAATTTATGCTGCTTAATATGATTTATTGCAATGGCATGTTGTGGAGGAGGACTCAAAGCCGCAGCAGAACTCCTCCCATTCTGTACCCCTAATACTGAGGTATCTTATTCCTCCAATTCTGTTTAAAAGCCTTTTATATTCACTGCTGACACTGTTGAGCCTGATTTAAAAGAATATTAACAGTCTGGTAACAAGAAATACAGTCACTGAACAGTAGCCATCCAGGTTTCAAAACAGAAAACAGTCAGAGTGAGATAAAAGGTCAGACTTCCGCATGAACTGGGCCCTTCTGTCTTGTTATAATCGGAAATCTTAAGTATTTTCACTGGTGCCAGTTTCTCCTTTCTCCTTATTCCCTCAGGTAGGCTGTGTGAGAACTTGGTGCTCATTCAGAGCTTTGGAAACATTGTAGAATGACTTTAGTGTATTAGCAGCATTCCTGTTGTGTTATCTCATAACAAGTACTCTGGAATGTATAAGCACTAAGCATTTTTCCCCCCTGCCCCCTTTCCCTTCCCGGAAGGAGAATCCCTGCTGTGTAGGGATTTGGTCCTTCAGCTTGCTTGTTGCTTTCTAGGTTATTAGACTCCTTCAGGAATTTGTCTTATGCATGTCTAACAAGATGTGCTGTTTGTTAGTCTTTTATAGTTCAAAATAAATCTCTTGGCCTTTTGTCCAGAAAATGTCTGTACAAATTGTTTGTTATTTAGCTAAAGCTTATAGCACTATAGTACTGCCCTGTAGCTCTCATTAGGATGTCCAGGGACTCCAGAAGTAACATAGCAATGATATCCATGACATCCAAGGACAGCTCATAGTAAAATGGTACATGGTGTTGCATGATGCAGAGTACAGCATATTCTGGAAGGAGGTATGTGATGATGTGTTCCCAAATAGTCAGGTACTTGTTACAGGAATCAGCTGTTGGAAACCACAGTCAACTGCCTTATTGCTATCTTCTTCCCTTCCTCAAGGACTCTGTATGCTTCATTATTCCAGTGTCTTGATTTGTCTATTTTAAATAGACTCGGTATTGACCACAGGCACTTAGGGGACGTTACTCCGATTTGACTGGTGCTACTATTAACAAAGTGTCTTGCACTTAAATCTTTGCACAATTTGTTGTCCTAAACACCCTTGAAGTTTTTTATTTCATAGCTTCACTATGTTCTCTTGTCTTTGTGTTCTTCATTTGTATATATCCATAGGGGGTGCTATCTTTGCAGTTGCTGTTTGGACAAATTGTTTGTAATCAGTGTTCCCAGCTTTGATGAAAGATTCCTTTTTGGCTTATTGGCTTTTTTGCACCATTCTGATGACTAGTTTTGTTGCTTTGGAGCAGAACACCAATTACTGATATAAGTAGTAAAGGTAGCAAGGAGCCTAAGGGCCTTCCTGTCTGGAAGGGAGACAGGAAGAATAACGCTCTGTAGAAGAGCCTTTCCCTGGCCACAGACCAGGCTGGCTAGCCAAAGTCAGTGTATTACAGGCTGTTCTGGCAGTGCTCCCACGTGTTTGCTTGATGGGTTAATTTGAGTGCGTCTTCATTAAATCTCAAAAACAGTAACTGAATGTTAATTTCCAAAATGTATAACAATCAGGTTCCCATGATGAGCTACACATCTAGTAACTGAGAGAAGAGATTGTAATTGTCCCTCCACTGTATTTTTTTCTTTTTTTTTTCACTTTCCTTTTTGCAAGGTTATAATGGGGAGGGGAATAATATCTCTTATTAGACGCATGAAATAGCTGGCAAAGAAACAGGCCTTTGGGGATACAGTCCCTTTGTTAGATGTGAAACAGAAGCAGCAAACTTTCATCCAAACGTAGATTGAGATCAGTTGCTCAGACTTCAACTTATTGATGGGAATCAGTTGGACACTTTGAGAGAAAAAGGAGGTTGGCACATGTGAGCCAACACAAGGGGTGTGCTAACACAGGGGGAGGTCGTGAATTTGGGAGGAGAAAGAGGAGGGTTTTTTTTCCTGTTGAAGTCAGCA